TCAGAGGACAGATTGCCCAAGGAAGGAGCAGTATGGATAGAAGTTCTCAGACTTTCAAGCTAAGTATGTTTTGGGGCTCCAGAATAAAATCCTAAACACAGTGATTCAATGGCTATTATTTATTATAAGAATTCAGAATACTTGAAGAATGAGAGGACTTTATCAATGTTAATCAGTCACTCATCCATATCAAGTATAACCAAAGGTACAAGTTGACTTGGAATATTGGCACAAGTGGTTTAATTTTATTATATTTTTAATTCCTAATTGAGAAAAAACAAAAACTGGACTCCATACAGAATTATTGTGAGTTTCACATAGGATAATAGATATGTGTATGATTTCTTTGTGTATGATTAAGCAACTCATACACATTGTATACACATCTTACTATTTTGACATTGATCATTTGACCTTGTATACTAAAGGCTGGAGATACCAAAGTCTAATCTCTTAAGGGTTTTCCCCTAGGACTATGTTCTACTCAGCCTCACATAAGACAGTATTGAACACTTGTAATAGATTCTCTTGATTTCCAGTCTTTGGGAGCTTGACCCAAGATTGGCTTTATTTTCTGAAAAGGTAATGAACTGACTTTCATTCTTTCCTGTATCTTTCTTCAACACACGAGATAGGAAGTTCCAGAGCCCCAGCACAGTTTGCATGATGCTGAGTAGGGGAAACCACAGACAGGGCCATATGAAGAAAGTCCTCAGTTGAGAGTAAAAGGGATGAGGGAAGTCGGGGATATGGGGAAAATGGCCAGATCCTCCTGTTCCTGTTCTGCTTCTGGGTGGAACCTGTATCTTCTGTTTCTTGAAGCCACTGGAACAAACTCTATCTTAAGGGACACTGTCAGCAACTCTGCTGTAGCAATGGTGGCAGCTGGGTGCTGTGTGAGGAACTTGTGGAGAAAGTGTCTTCCTCTTTGTCCTCTTTAGTTTCCTCAGCTCTGTGGTTTTAGCCTTCTATAGCTCTGGTGTCCCCCTTTTTTGGGCAAACACTCCATAGTCACTAATCTTTCCAATCACTAACCAGAAGTCCACCAACTCCAATCACTAACCACGCCCTGCTGAGCACTGTCTAGTTCTGATCTTTTTGTGCCCTCTTTTCCTGAGAGCCCTAAAAAAGCTCTTCTCATTGGTTCTGATCTATTCTCCCTCACTTCTCCCATCTTCTTATTTTTGTCACAACTTCACACTGGGTTCCAATGATGTGAGTAAAAGGACCCATTGTCCCCCTTTTATCTGAGAGCTCTACACAGGCTCTACTCATTTGTTCCTATTTCAGTTCTGATCTATTCTTTATCACATCTCCTATCTTCTTGTTTTGTCATAGCTTCACACTGGATCCTTTTACTTGGGTGTCTCCCTGATATCAGACACCATTATGACATTGGTCAGCATGTATTAACACATCAATTTCCTCATGTCCAACCAATGGTCTTATATCCTGTCTTGAGTCTTCTTGGCCACTGGGTTCTGCTAATCTTTCAAGTGCTCTTTGTTGACTTTTATCCTCATCTTATGAACACTACTGTGTCCCTAAAATGGAACAATTTTTTTGTTGTTGTTGGGATGAGAAACGCTGGGCTGAATGAAGCACAAGCTGGAATCAAGATTGCCAAGAGAAATATCAATAACCTTAGATATGCAGATGACACCACCCTTATGGCAGAAAGTGAAGAGGAACTAAAAAGCCTCTTGATGAAAGTGAAAGAAGAGAGTCAAAAAATTGGCTTAAAGCTTAACATTCAGAAAACTAAGATCATGGCATCTTGTCCCATCACCTCATGGGAAATAGATGGGGAGACAGTGGAAACAGTTGCTGACTTTATTTTATTGGGCTCCAAAATCACTGCAGGTGGTGACTGCAGCCAGGAAATTAAAAGATGCTTATTCCTTGGAAGGAAAGTTATGACCAACCTAAGACAGCATATTAAAAAGCAGAGACATTACTTCACCAACAAAGGTCCATCTGGTCAAGGCTATGGTTTTTCCAGTGGTCATGTATGGATGAGAGAGTTGGACTGTGAAGAAAGTTGAGTGCCAAAAAATTGATGCTTTTGAACTATGGTGTTGGAGAAGACTCTTGAGAGTCCCTTGGACTGCAAGGAGATCCAACCAGTTTATCCTGAAGGAGATCAGTCCTGGGCGTTCATTGGAAGGACTGATGCTGAAGCTCAAACTCCAATACTCTGGCCACCTCATGTGAAGAGTTGACTCTTCGGAAAAGACCCTGATGCTGGGAGGGATTGGGGGCAAGAATAGAAGGGGACGACAGAGAATGAGATGGCTGGATGGCATCACCAACTCGATGGGCATGGGTTTGAATGGACTCCGGGAATTGGTGGACTCCTGGCATGCTGTGATTCACGGGGTCGCAAAGAGTCAAACACAACTGAGCGACTGAACTGAACTGAACTGAGTCCAACATGTTATTGCTGTTCAGTTGCTAAGTCATGTCTGACCCTTTGCGATCTCAAGAACAGCACACAAGGCTTCTCTTCCTTTATTCTCTCCCTTAGTTTGCTCAAACTCACATCCATTGAGTCAGTGATGTCATTCAACCATCTCATTCTCTGTTGCCTCCTTTTTCTCTTGCCTCAGTTTTTCCCGGCATCAGTGCCAACATGCCACAGTTTAAATGCTTTGCTCGCCAGTTTATACACAATGTTCAACTCAGCATATATAAGGTAGTTTGTGTTATATATGATATGCAAGAAAATGTGTACAGATATAATCACCATAAACAGGTGAGCATAAACATCACAAGAAAGTTTGTCTCTGAAGCACTCAAAGTCCTTTGGTATTTACAAGATTCTCTTTCCATATCAGTCGTACAAGCAGACAAGTGGGTTTTCAGTTGGCTTTTAATGATGTAGCAGTTAAACCTCTGTTATCTCAGTCTGCTTATTTTCTACCCCTTCTCCCCAATCACATATCGGCATTTTACTTCTGTGGTCTCTTAGAGAAAACTCAATACAATAATTTTTTTTGTAGTTATTATGTAGTAGGTAATTTACGAGGCAGTAGAAATATAAAAACAGCTATTGGACCCTCATGTTATATACAGACAAGTGAGGGCAGAGAATAGTAATCAAATATTCATCCAAAAGACTGGTATAATTAAGACTAAAACTGTGATAGGTGCCAGGGAGGGGAATGTAATGTCAGGATATTCAGCCTTGTCCTGGAGCTCAAGGAAAAACTCTTAAAAACAGACCAGAGATAAGGAGAATGTTTGGGAGGTAACTTGATGGCAAAGAGAGGAAAGAATTCCAGGTCCAGAGAGATACTTCTGTTAAAGCAAAGCGGTGAAATGTATTATGAGTTCCAAAAGCTAGTTCAATTAAGTTGTGGTCCTGAGAGTTTGGGTAAGTTGGTGTGTGTGCTCAGCCATGTCTGAATCTTTGAGGCCCTGTGGACTGTAGCCCACCAGGCTCCCCTGTCCATGGAATTTTCCAGGCAAGAATACTGGGGTGGGCTGCCATTTGCTACTCCAAGGAATCTTCTCGACCCAAGAATCAAACCCGTGTCTCTTGCATCTCCCCTATTGTGAGGCAGATTCTTTACCACTGGGCTACCTGGGAAGCCCAAGTGGAGGAAGAGACAATAAAGAAAGATTAGACCTGATAGGGATTGCTAGGCTTTGTTATGGAATTTGGTATTATTATAAGGAAGATAATGAGGTGTTTTTTAAAGGAAAAAATTGCATTGTCAGTATTTATTTTTAAAATGTCACAGAATTCGTGGCAGAGAATGATTGAAATGGAGTGAAGATGTTGCTATTACAGCTATTTAATATTTTAGTGTCTTTGTGTTAAGATCATGAAAGTGGTGAAGAGAGGAGGACATATTTGAGAGATATTTTTGCTGTTTTCAGTTGCTCAGTTGTGTCCCACTCTTTGTGACCCCATTGACTGCAGCATGCCAGGCTTTCCTGTACTTCACCAGAGATATTCAGTTAAAAATAAATAAAACTTGGAATTTTCCCTGGTGGCTCAGAGAGCAAAGAATCTGTCTGCAATGCAGGACACGTGGGTTCAATCCCTGGGTTGGGGAGAGCCTCTGGAGAAGGAAATGACAACCTACTCCATTGTTCTTGCCTGGAAAATCCCATGGACAGAGGAGCCTCATGTGCTATGGTCCATGGGGTCGCAAAGAGTCAGACATGACTGAGCGACTAATGCACACACAAATTAAACTTGGTGATATGAGATGAAGGTGGAAAGCAGCTTAGAGGTATGCATGTGAGAGAGGGTAATAACAAGATGAGTTGGTTGGATAGCATCACTGATTCAAGAGACATGATTTTGAACAAACTCCAGGAGATAGTGAAGGGCTGGGATGCCTGGTATGCTGCAGTTCATGGGGTTGCAAAGAGTCAGACATGATTTAGTGACTGAACAACAACTGGTTTATAGATGGCATAATTGTCTTGTATGGCATATCCTTTACTGAGATATGGAGTGCTGGAAGATGGTTCCTTTTATGATGAAATTTAGTGGACTATTTTTGTATGTTGAGTTGGAAGTACCTTTGAGGTTTTAGACTTGCTGTGTTAAGTAGCCAGTAGGGTATACAGGTCTGGTGATCAGAGAATGATCTGAAGGGCAGATATAACTTTGATATGCATTGCTTTGTATGTGGTAGTTGAAACTGTGAGACTGTAAGAAATTAACTAAGGATATCATGTTAAGCTAAGTGAAAGTGTGAGTCACCCAGTCTGAAGATACAGAAAAGATAAAGTTTCAAAAAATACTGGCAAGATGAGATGGATGATTGAATCACCACATCATTCAGATGTAACAATATATTCATCATATACACTCATTTTCTAAAACATTTTATTTTGTGTATCTCCTTTTCCACATTTCTGAGAATAGTACTATAAAACACACACACACACAGCCCTCTGAACTTTCTTATGATCTGAGCTCAAACTTCATGTGGTGTCTCTTAGTCAGACAAATAGAGACTTATTTTCTGCCAAGTGGATTATAATTGACAAATCCATGGATAATTTTTTTCACAACTTGCTTTGATTATCTTGTTAGAAGACACCCAGGCGCATTTCATACTCCGGGTCTCTCGTTCGTTTGAAAACCTACAGAAAGAAAGCAGATGGTTTTCTTTACATCAGTCATGAGTATATGCATATGGCCAGAGGCTTACAAGGACTTCAGAAAATGTTTTCTATTTTTTAAAATAAATAATAAACTCATTAAAACTGTTTAAATACACAAAAATATGATAGGCAAAGCAATTCTTCCCACTTTATGTTTTATGTCTCAAAACATCTCTCCAGAGAAGTTATAGTTCATTTTTGTTGTTTAGTCCCTCAGTTGTGTCTGACTCTTTGTGACTATAGAGACCATGACCTGCCAGACTCCTCTGTCCATGGATTCTCCAGGCAAGAATACTGGATTAGGTTGTCATTTCATTCTCCAGGGGATCTTCCTGACCCAGGGATTGAAGCTGTGTCTCTTGCATTGGCAGGCAGATTCTTTACCACTAGGCCACCAGGGAAGCCCTAATAGTTCATTAAAGAGAGCTAAAATATCACCTCTGAGTTTTTTTAGTCCACTCTGAGCAGTGTGTGGGATCCTAGTTCCCCGTGATAGGAGATGGGTTTGAATCCATGCCCCCTGTATTGGGAATGCAGAGTTTTAACCACTGGACCATCAGGGAAATCCCTCAGCTCTGACATTTTTATTGCTTAAAAATTGATCACTCTAAGAAATGAGCAGAAAGTTATGCTCTGTAAAACAAACATGTGCACTCATAAAACAGTTTACACTTGCTAATTTACCTTTTATATAAAAAGCTAAAATCAGACAACAGGGCAATCCTGTTTCATACATAAGTTTTCTGAGTGGATGGAGGGAGATTTCTTTCTCAACTTTCTGTGTGAATCATTTTATAGAAATATTTATCAGACTGTAGCAGTCAGGAAGTCTATACCCATTAGATCACTTCAAAGCCAATTATGTCATATGTCTCTTTTTTGTCACATACAACATGGGATTAAAAACCACAAAAGGAAAAAATGCAAAAGACTTACAGCTTTGGGTCAAAAGTGCTGTTGTCCAACCAGGTCCATAATTCCCCTCCAGGAGGAATCCTCAAACCAATCCAAAATGAATCATGTACGTTTTGCCATAGGAAAGTCTAAAAAGAATAGGAAATGTTGTATGAAATCAAGTGATTCTTACAGATGCAAAATAAAATACTACAGGAGCACCTTCTATGTGACTGGCATTGCACTAGAAGCTAGGAATGAACAGGCAAGACATGCTTCATGTTTTCAAATATATCACAGTGGAGGGGAAATCCACAGCAATGTAATGGAATAAAAGCTAAAGAAAAATTACTAAATGTCTATTGACAAATGGATGGATAAAGATGTAGCACATATGTACAATGGAATATTACTCAGCCACAAAAAAGAATGAAATGTTATCATTTGTCATACAGAGTGAAGTAAGTCAGAAAGAGAAAAACAAATATCATGTGTTAACACACACACATATATAAGGGATCTAAACATAAATTTTAAAAAAGTAATTAGCCTCCAACTAATAAAAATAAATGAGAAAAAAAATCTAGATGTACCTATTTGCAAGGCAGGAATGCAGACATAGAGAAAGAACATGTGGACACAGGAAGACAGGGAGGGTGGGAAAATTGGGAGATTGGGATACACACACACACACACACACACACACACACACACACACACACATTACCATGTGCAAAGTAGATAGCTAGTGGGGAGCTGTTGTATAGCACAGGGAGCTCAGCTCAGTGCTCTGTGATGACCTAAAGGGATATTAAGTCAGAGTGGGCGGGAGGTTCAAGAGAGAGGGAATATATTTATACCAATTATACTCCAATATAAAAACATGAACTGAGACTGTGAAGAAAAAAAGGACTATTACGGACAGTGTTAATAGACACCAAGGCTGTGGAGTCAGGCTGCAGCTACTATTACTACTACACACCTTTGCAGAGTTATTCATTCTTTTTATTTCTGTATTTTTCCAACCACTAAAACTCTGACTGTGATAATATTCATACCTATCTCAAAGAACTGTTATTGTTTTGTTAATAAGTAATATTAAACACTGCTTGGCACATAATGAATGCTTCTTGCCTAAATAATAGTGATTACTACTAAATACAAGTATTAAACAATAATCTAGAAGCAAGAAAACACACAGGAAAAGTTATAGGAAGAAAGCAATCTCTGAGCTGATGGAACACATATTGTTGATAAGTTATTTTTTGTAATTGGAGGATAATTGTTTTCCAATATTGTGTTGGTTTCTGCCATACATCAACATGAATCTCCCATAGGCATACATGTGTCCCCTCCCTCTTTAATCTCCCTCCCACCTCCCATCCCATCCCACCTCTCTAGGTTGTCAAAGAAAACCTGATTTGAGCCCCTTGCATCATATAGCAAATTTCCACTGGATATGGTAATCTCTCTGTTTGCATGCTACTCTCTCAATTTCTCCCACCCTCTCCTTTCCCGACTTTGTCCACCAGTCTGTTCTGTATGTCTGCATCTCCATTGCTGAAAATAGGATCATCAGTACCATCTTTCTAGATTCCACATATATGCATTAATATATGATATTTGTTTTTCTCTTTCTGACTTACTTTGTATAACAGGCTCTAGGTTCATTCACCTTATTAGAACCAACTTGAATGTGTTCTATTTATGGCTGAGTAATATTCCATTGCATATGTGTACCATAACTTCTTTATCCATTCATCTATCAATGGACATCTAGGTTGCTTCCATATCTTAGCTATTGTAAATAATGCTGCAACAAACATTGAGGTACATGCATCTCTTTCAATTATGGTTTTCTCAGCGTATGTGCCCAGTAGTGGGATTGTTGGGTTATATGGTAGTTTTATGGCTGTATCAATTAACATTTCCACCAACAGTGCAAGAGCATTTCCCTTTCACCACATCCTCTCCAGCATTTATTGTTTATAGAGATTTTAATGATGGCCATTCTGACCCGTGTGAGCTGATACCTTATTGTAGTTTTGTTTTGCATTTCCCTAATGATGAGCAATGCTGAGCACCTCTTCATGTGTTTATTAGCTATCTGTATGCCTTTGGAGAAATGTCAGATTAGGTCCTCTGCCCATTTTTTGTTTGGGCTCTTTGTTTCCTTGATGTTGAGCTACATGAGCTGCTTATATATCCTGGAGATTAATCCTTTGTCAGTTTTTTCCTTTGCAATTATTCTCTCCCATTCTGAGGTTTGTCTTTTAATCTTGTATCTTCTGCTGTGCAAAAGCTTTTAAGTTTAATTAAGTCCCATTTGCTTATTTTTGTTTTTATGTCCATTACTCTAGGAAGTGGGTAATATCTCCTTTTGTGCAATAACATAACCCCTGAGACAAAGTATATGACTGGCTATAATGTGCTAAGTTGATGAAGTTTTGTCTGACTCTTTATGACCCTGTGGACTGACTGCAAGACTCCTCTGTCCATGGGACTTCCAAGGCAAGAATACTGTAGTGGGTTGCCATTTCCTCCTCCAGGAGATCTTCCCAGCCCAGGGATCAAACCCATGTCTCTTGTATCTCCTGCATTGGTAGGCAGATTCTTTACCACTGTCCAATTCACATATATGCCATGCCATGCTCAGTTGCTTCACATGTATAATTGACCCCTATTACAGGCTTCAGGGGCCAGAGGATGGAATGTTATGGGCTCAACTGTGTCTCTTCAAAATGTATGCATTTGAAGCTCTAACCCCCAGTGCTTCAAAATGTGACTGCCTTCGGAGACACAGCTTTTAGAGAGGTGACTAAGCAGAAATGAAGCTGTTAGGGTAGATCTTAATTCAATCTGATTATTGTCCCTATAAGAAGCAGAAATTTGGACATACAGAGAGACATAGATGCATGCATACAAAGGAAAGACCATGTGAGGACAGAGCAAACAGGTGGCCATCTAGAAACTGAGGAGAGAGGCCTTGTAAGGAACCAAATCTACCAACACCTTGATCATGAACTTCTAGCCTTCAGAGCTGTGAGTAACAAGTTTCTGATGCATAAGCCGCCAAGTCTGTGGTATTTTGTTATGTTAGCTCTAACAAACTCATACAACCCCTTTAGGTGCTTGTGTGCTAAGTCACTTCAGTTGTGTCTGACTCTTTGTAACCCCATGGACTGTAGCCACCCAGCTCCTCTATCCATAGGATTCTCCAGGCAAGAATCCTGGAGGGGCTGCCATGCCCTCTTCCAGGGGATCTTCCTGACCCAAGGATCAAACTTGCATGTCCTGCATTGGCTGGCAGGTTCTTTACCACTAGCACCACCTGGAAATCCTTACAACCCCTTTATTATTCTGTTGGTGGCTCAGATGGCAAAGAAACTGCTTGCAATGTGGGAGACCTGGGTTCAGTTCCTGGGTAGAAACAAACAATAAGTCACTGCATGGAGAAACAGTGCAATGAAGGACTTCCCTAAAAACCTTATCTGTTTCCTGCTCATCATCAAATTGAAAAATGCTGAAATGCAGCAAAGACATGTTTCCTGGGCAAGAAGAAACCTAACCCATCACTTAATAGTTAACTGAAACTCCACATTAAAGACCTAGGAGGAACTGTGTATTCATTTCCAAGCACAAAGCTATGTAACTTAGTCTCTTCTTATTAGATGCTTTCTTATTAGGTCCTTTCCAGTTGATATCTTCTTCCCCTTTTTTTTTGTCTGAAGCTGACTTCTAAGAGAAGAAAAAGTCTCTTTTTAGTTCTTCACCCATTCTGGATTTGGTTCATATTCAAACTAATTTGGACTGGATCTGACAAAGAGTTTTACAGTTTGATATTTGGGATTACATTGGTTACACTGAAGATAACTTACTTTCCATTTTGATTTTCTTGTTGTTGTGGGTTTCTATGAAACTCAGAGGAATTTTTTCTTCCCCCTACAAAAGTTTCAACAGATGCCCTGATGTAAACTCTCCAGACTTAACCAGGCTTGTAAAGCACTGTTTGTCATTGAGTTTTCTGAAACTGAGCCTTTGATATCACTTGTAATTTCAACATACTAATTCTTATGCTGAGAATCCTTATTTGATGTTTGCCAACTAATATCTATACTGGCCTTATTTAGGTTTAGTGTCCAACCTTCGTGTAAGAAAATTTCAATTTACATTAAGCCAGGGTTAGAAAAATGTTAGTTTTCTTCAACAAAAACCAAAGTTTAATGAGAAGGGCTATATTGTATTTCCTTTCTCTGAACATCATTTTTAACTTCAGCTGCCATGCTGTCTGACCACAAACTTTGTGAGCAACGATGGATTAAATATGGGGGATGAGACTGATGTCATATATTTAAAATGCAATCTGGGAAACAGAAAGACCCGTTATAGAGAACTTAAGTATATATTACTAAAGGATTTCTCCTATTCCTAGCTAAGTAAATGTAAAAGTAAAAGTTGCTCAGTCTTGTCTGACTCTTTGCGACCTCATGGACTATACAGTCCATGGAATCCTCCAGACCAGAATACTGGAGTGGGTAACCTTTCCCTTTTCCAGGGGGTCTTCCCAACCCAGGGATCCAACCCAGGTCTCTCGCATCGCAGGCGGATTCTTTACCAGTTGAGCCACAAAGGAAGCAAAAGAAGCCTAAAATAATAATGTAGTTTCAATGATTCATTCAACCAATAATTGTGCAGTTAATATCAATGAGGTTTAAATTTTTTTCACTGAAGTTTTCAAATTTGTAGCACAAAGAAGTACTGCAGTTGTGAAGGATGCTATAATCTTAAAATTTTATACCTCACCGTATCAGTGAAGTCTCGGATCACCATGAGATGTGAGTTTTTCATGACACAGTCATTTTTACTCTCATTCCAAGATTTCTTATTTTCATTTTCAGCAACCCAGTAGCATTTCCCCCCATGTGGCCTCCAATCTTTGGTGGGGCATGATGTACGAACAGTAGAAGAATCAAAAGAAACTGGAAGGAAAAAGGATAAGTAATTATAGCAAACATGAGGATGCATCCCTAATATTGTATAATAATTAAAGCCTCTCAAAATTTGTTAAATTATGGCTTAAGTTTTCTTTGATATAAGTATGTGCTTTTCTCGGGATGGATTTTGAAAAAAAAAAAAAAACTAATGGAATTTCAATTGTGTATTTTTTTTCTTTCTCTCTTTTCTTCTTTCTCCCATTTAATTTATTCTCTTTAAAATATGTTATGTTTTCTATGAACTAGGCAATACACAGACACTAGGATAAAGCAATCAACATCCAAACTTCAGAAGGATAAAAATTTTGGAGGAAAAGTAGAAATTAGAGATTTCAACTAGTGATCCACCAGTGAACCAGGCATTTTGAGAATTATATATCACTGTAATTCTGAGAATTATAAAGTCATAAGAAGAATTTTTATTGGGCAAAATTTGTATGGTAGGTGGTCTCTAAAACTCAGATAGATTGATCTTCCTGTGTATAAAAGAGTCTGGACAGAATTTAAAGCAATTTTGTTCAATACCATGTTATCACCTCTATCAAGGGTAGAAGGAGGACAATTATGTGCTTTTGTGTTGGGAATAATGTCCCAGAAAATTTGCTATCATAGTTTCACTAGTTTAAAAAAATTAAAGTTTTTGGAATGAGGTTGAGGAGACATGGAACAATTAATATCCATTTTAAAGTTTTAATGAGTTCCCAGAAGTTGAAATCACTCTATAACATGGACTGGTAAGTTTTTCTAATAACATATATGCAGGTTCAAAAAAAGAAAGGCATATAGTTTTTCAGTATAGAATTAAAACTTAAATCAACAGATTAAAAATAATAAAGGAAGCAGAAAGAAAAAGAAAACAGAAAAGCTAAATAATTGAGTGTTTTCTTGACTTTTGAAAGTATATAAATACATTCATGTATGAAAGATAAAAAATCACATAAAATTATCATTTATCATATTTTTCATGTAGTACCATTACAAAAGTGACAAAAAGCTGTGTGGTGTGATCATGAATTTTAGGAAAGAAAATATTTGACCATATTCTACACCTGCACACGTCCCAGTAGAAATAAAAATACTAATAAAATACAATGATTTCAACATAGTACCTTTAAATTCATTTAAAACACATAAGGTTTATTTTTCTCATTTGTCTTCAATCTTTAAATACTTTTGTCAAGGACTGTAATAGGCCCATGAGAAACAATGGTCTAAACCATCCCTCTGTAGGGGTAGAGGAATTTCCCCTTTATTCAGATATACCCAAGTAAAATCCATGCTACTGTCCACACTTGCTTATTCAGGAATTCAATTTGGTTCAGTTCAGTTTCTCAGTCTGTCCGACTCTGCGACCCCTTGGACTGCAGCACACCAGGCTTCCCTGTCCATCACCAACACCTGGCGTTTACTCAAACTCATGTCCATTGAATTGGTGATGCCATCCAACCATCTCATTCTCTGCTGTCCCCTTCATCTCCTGCCTTCAATTTTCCCCAGCATCAGGGTCTTTTCAAATGAGTCAGTTCTTCACATCAGTTGGCCAAAATATTGGAGTTTCAGCTTCAGCATCAGCCTTTCCAATGAATATTGAGGACTGATTTCCTTTAGGATAGACTGGTTGGATCTCCTTGCAGTCCAAGGGACTCTCAAGAGTCTTCTCCAACACCACCACTCAAAATTCTTTGGTGCTCAGCTTTCTTTATGTTCCAACTCTCACATCCATACATGACTAATGGAAAAACCATAGCTTTGACTAGATGGATCTTTGTTGGCAAAGTAATGTCTCTGCTTTTTAATATGCTCTCTAGGTTAGCCATAACTTTTCTTCCAAGGAGCAAGTGTCTTTTAATTTCAAGGCTGTAGTCACCACATGCAGTGATTTTGGAGGCCAAAATAATCAGTCTGTCACTATTTCCATTGCTTCCCCATCTATTTGCCATGAAGTGATGGGATCGGATACCATGATTTTAGTTTTCTAAAAGTTGAGCTTTAAGCCAACTTTTTCACTCTCCTCTTTAACTTTCATCAAAAGGCTTTTTAGGTTTTCTTTGCTTTCTGCTATAAGGGTGGTGTCATCTGCATATCTGAGGCTATTGATATTTCTCCCGGCAATCTTGATTCCAGCTTGTGCTTCATCCAGCCTGGTGTTTCTCATGATGTACTCTGCATATAAGTTAAATAAGCAGAGTGACAATATACAGCCTTGACATACTCCTTTCCTGATTTGGAACCAGTCGGTTGTTCCAACAGAAAATTGAATTAAAGATTTACTGAGCATGGTCCTGCCCATCAGAACAAGACCCAATATCCCCCTCAGTCAGTCTCTCCCATCAGGATGCTTCCATAAGCCTCTTATCCTTCTCCATCAGAGGGCAGACAGAATGAAAACCACAATCACAGAAAACTAACCAATCTGATATATGGACCACAGCCTTGTCTAACTTACTGAAACTATGAGCCATGCTGTGTAAGGCCACCCAACACAGACGGGTCATGGTGGAGAGTCCTGATAAAATGTGGTCCACTGGAGGAGGGAATGGCAAACCACTTCAGTATTCTTGCCTTGAGAGTCCCATGAACAGTATGAAAAGGCAAAAAGATAGGACACTGAAAGATGAACTCCCCAGGTCAGTAGGTGCCCAATAAACTACTGGAGAGTGGTGGACAAATAACTCCAGACAGTATGAAGAGCCAGAGCCAAAGAAAAAACAACACCCAGTTGTGGATGTGACTGGTGATAGAAACAAGGTCCGATGCTGTAAAGAGCAATATTGCATAGTATCCTGGAATGTTAGGTCCACGAATCAAGGTAAATTGGAAGTGATCAAACAGGAGATGGCAAAAGTGAACATCGACATTTTAGGAATCCGCAAACTAAAATGGACTGGAATGGATGAATTTAATTCAGATGACCATTATATCTACTAATGTGGGCAATAATCCCTTACAAGAAATGGAGTAGCCATCATAGTCAACTCAGGAATTAGGCATTATAAAATAACGTTACCTATTGAGCTGCTTGCTTCAGATTTACTTTGCTCAGTACAATATTTCTTCTTTGATTCATTATCGACTTCAGTTTGTCTTGCAGATTTGAACTGAATAACTAGTGAAAGAAGATACATCTTTTCTTAATTAAATATGAAGCAGAAAACGGTCAGGTTGTAGCGACTCAGTGAAGTTGATTGATGTGGAAACTCCAGAGCAATTAAAGTGATTAAAATTTATGGGAAAAATTTCCTTTTACCAAGATTGGACCTTCTTTTGCACATACTCCTGTTAATTTTATTAATATCAAATTTAGGGGAATTGGAAAAATATGACCTGGGACCAGAAGGAAACTCACTTGATTTTTTCTGGAGTTTTCATATTTATTTTAATAAACACAAAGTAACCAGCTTTGAATGTGAACTTAATTTGGATAGTTTGTGTTTGGTAAGTTCCTGCTAACTGTACCAGGTGTCACCTGATTCATAGAAAGAACTTTATGTGTTTTGATTTCAGTTCATGATTCTGTTCCTTTTGCGGTTGTCCATTTAAACTCTACATATGGAAGGACAGGGTGAGCCCAGAGTATTTTTCTACCATGAGGAAGGCATTTGTCTTTCTGATGGCCATTTCACTGAAATTACTTTTGGTTATTTATAATCTCACAATAGTGTGTATTAATCAGTTAAATCTTTAAAATCTATCATAGTAAAAAATCTGTTACTAACAAACTACTTTATGATAACAAGCAAATCTATTCAGTTCAGTTCAGTTCAGTTCAGTCAGTCACTCAGTCGTGTCCAACTCTTTGCGACCCCATGAATCGCAGGACGCCAGGCCTCCCTGTCCATCACCAACTCTTGGAGTTTACTCAAACTCATGCTTATTGGGTCGGTGATGCCATCCAGCCATCTCATCCTCTGTTGTCCCCTTCTCCTCCTGTCCCCAATCCCTCCCAGCAACAGGGTCTTTTCCAATGAGTCAACTCTTCGCATGAGGTGGTCAAAGTACTGGAGCCTCAGCTTCAGCATCAGTCCTTCCAATGAACACCCAGGACTGATCTCCTTTAGGATGGACTGGTTGGATCCCCTTGCAGTCCAAGGGACTCTCAAGAGTCTTCACCAACACCACAGTTCAAAAGCAAATCTATTAACCTATACCAAAAAGAAACCTAGCAGAGAGGGTATTTTTTTTTTAAATGGCCATGCCCCATGGCATATGGGATCTTAGTTCCCTGACCAGGGATCAAACCTGCACCCTTTGCAGTGGAAATGCAGAGTCGTTTTAACCACTGGGCTGCCAGGGAAGTCCCAGAAGAGGTGTTGAATGTTAAGTATTTTTTGCTTCATCCCCTCAATGTTAAAGTCCCAATTTGGCCACTGCCTAGATATATTAAACTAGTCAAACCACTTATCACTGTGGGCTTTAGACTATTCACCTCAACTGGAGGCTTGACCTTGTTGATTTCTAGGGCCCTATCCAGTTCTAGAATTCTGACTCTGCCCATTGACCTCTAGTAACTAATGACATACGTAATTACTAATATCATTCACAAGAACAATACGGGCAGATACTGCCTTGATCTGTTCTAGAGTTTGGTTCAATCTGGAAACCTGAATTCCTTAGAGTATACATCATCTGGGAGCTTTTCTCCAAGCATTTACTCAATAAATTATTAAAATAATTGCCATATAAAGTTGGACTATATTTCACTATATCCACAGCATATGAGTATAATTTTAAAGTGCCTGAGTGAATTGATTGGTTTTAGACAAAATTTTCACCCATGCATGCAAGATTGATGATGCCCCTGAGTAGCTAATGGGGCTTCCCTTGTGGCTCAGCTGGTAAAGAATCCACCTGCAATGCAGGAGGCTTGGTTCAATTCCCGGGTTGGGAAGATCCCCTGGAGAAGGGAAAGGCTGCCCACTCCAGTATTCTGGCTTGGAGAATTCCACAGACTCTATAGTCTATGGGGTCACAAAGAGCTGGACATGACTGAGTGACTTTCACTTCACTTTCAGGATGCCATGATCTTAGTAAGTTTGAATAAGATCTTGAATAAGCTTAAACAGAAATATGCTTCATAGTTTAATTTGCTTTCACAGAACATGGTTCAGAGAAGCTGATTTTCATCATAAAATATAAATCTAGCCTCCTTCATATATCAATGAAATGAATCCATAATGTATGTAATATCACATGATGGAGTTCTATGGAAAATCTCTAATTTTATTTGTGTATCAAATTTCCTGCCTTTTGTGAAATTGTACTGAATTGTGTAGAAACCACTTTAACAGCAAACACAATTACAACAGGTCATGATAAAATAATACTTTGGGGTAAATAAAGGTTATTGGTAATTACTTACCAAGCATGCTCAGCACAGTTACTATTACAAGAAGAATGATAATCATTGCACATCCAACTTTCAGGAAAATTCCGTGGTGTTGAGAATCTACAAAATTGGATAAATTTCACTAGTAGTCCCAGTAAGTAATTCCTTAGGTGGTAAGGAAGGGATGAATAAACTTTTTAGTTATGCTCTTGAGTTACTTTCCTTTGAAATATGTAGACCTAACTTCCTCTTACATACAAATTTGGTCCCCTGATTTGTGAAGAAGGAGGAATTTACAGAACTGAAAGAATATATTTTTTCCTTTTGATTTACCATGCATAATCTTAACTTATGATCTACTCTCTGCATCCCTAAATTGTTATATAAGACTGAAATTCTCAAGATTCTCGAGTAAACTTACCGACAGCCCTCACTTATTTGGGTTGATTCATTCTTTTATGTCTCTTTTATGCATTCTTATACAATGAACCTATTTCCTGTGATATGTAACTGAAATTTTTAAAAATTATACATTTTAAAATAAAAGTAATTTTAGGGATAATCTTGTCCAACGTTTGAATGCTAAAATGGGAATTTTAAGTCCACGAAACAGTTACTCGATAGTAGAATTGAGATCATACCTCAAGTTTCTTAACTACCAAATTAGACCTTTGTTCACTATCCATTCTATCTCTCGTAATCAGATAAATAAGTCATAAAAAGAAAGTGACATTTTTAGCTCTGGTCTGATTGATGGCTAAAACCAAGAGGCTTTTATCCAAAATAGTTACAGTATATCAATTCCACTAGATATGTGATATATACACATCTACATGGGGCTTCCCTGGTGGCTCAGGCAGTAAAATGTCTGCCTACAGTGCAGGAGACTCAGGTTCAATCCCTGGATCAGGAAGATTCCCTGGAGAAGGGAATGGCTACCCACTCCACCATTCTTGCCTGGAGAATTCCATGGAGAGGGGAGCCTGGCAGGCTAAAGTCCATGGGGTTGCAAAGAGTCAGACACAACTGATACTTTCACTTTCACAAACTGAGAGCCTACTACTATAACTGATGTGAAAATACAACCAATTACAAAATCAAATGTCAAGAATGATTAACATGAATGCTTATTTAGTGGAATACTATTAGAGAGTACGTCGATGCTGCATATTGTCACCCTGCTTATTTAACTTATATGCAGATTACAGCGCTTGCTCAAATTATTATTGTTTAAGTAAAACATCTTTAATGAGAATTTATTAAATTCTCAAAACACTAAAAGAAATCCATGTATTTCCTTTTGTCAGGCAAAAATGATGCAAATTGTGCCTGACTAGGCAATAGTGAGAAGAATGTGATAATATCCCAACACACATTTCTAGGATAGAGAGCTGAGATTTCAGACCTAAAAAGTTGGAGACTAAATCATCAGAGTTCATGAATGGAACTAATACAAGGAGTACTACATCATTCCTTTAGGCCCCTGAAGTAAAGTTTAAGAAAATCATGAATTTCTGAGTCTTAGTCTGGAATATTCTCAATTGTATTACCTTTTCTCACTGATATTTCACTCAGTTTCATGGGGGTACCCTCTTGTTTTATATCTTGGAGAGACAATGAACCTATAATATTTAAAATAAATGAGATCCATTTATTTAAAATTCATTTATACATTCATCTGCCTACAAGGCATCTATTAATTGCCTACCGAGGAGTTAGTACTGTGCGAGGCATTGGAAATACAAAGATTAAGAGATTAGGGGGAGTGTTTCAACACACATGAAGCTCTGAAATAGGAAGGAATATGATAATTCTAAAGAGCAAAGAGAAAGTCAACAACCAGAGTTAAACAAGTGAAATTTAGCAACTTTGAAGAGAAAGCTCGGGGACAATTGTGTAGGGCTCTGTGGGACATTACAATCCAATGTAGCAAATCTTTCTTTCCCTCTTGAATATGACACATGGGAACAGAAGTTAACATTTATCCACAACAGAGATATGCAGTGACAGAGTAATAAAATAGTTGACTTCTAGTCATGACAATAGGTAGGTAATTTAATTTTTATGCATTCATATTTCTTCATTTTTAACATTACAGTAAAATTGGACTAGATATCATTAAAGACACTGTCCCCAAATCTTTTTTACTTGTTCTATTCTTTCTTAAATTAATTTTTATTGGAGTATAACTGATTTGCATGCTTTGTCACTTAGTTGTGTCCAACCTTTCATGACACTTTGGACAGTAGCCTACCAGGCTCCTCTGTCCATGGGTTTCTCCAGGCAAGAATACTGGAGTGGGTTGCCATTTCCTTCTCCAGGGCATCTTCCCCACCCTAGGATCGAACCCAGGTCTCCTGCATTGGCAGGCTGATTCTTTGCCACTGAGCCACCAGGGAAGTCCATTTTATAAATTTGTATGTCAATCCCAATCTCCCAATTTATCCCTCCCTTCTTTTCCCCTTGATAACCATTAATTTGTTTACTAAGTCTATGACTTTGTATCTGTTTTGTAAATGGGTTCATTTGTACCACTTTCTTTTTTTCTTTTTTTGGACGAGGAAAAAAGCAATGTTCTTTCCATGAACAGACGAAATTAAATCCTGGAATGCAGAATCAAAAAATATTGGTCTTGTAGCTTGAAGTGAGTTAAAATAACCTCTAGAAAAATGGACCCATTATATGAGATTTGTGGGAAACGGAGGCATAAGAATACAGGTTTCGTCCATACTACTTCTCAAACTAAGTTCGATTAGCTCACATAAAGTGAAAGCTCCCAGTCTGTCAAGAAAAGAAAGCAGATAAGCCCATACTGAGCAAGTTGTGCTGTGCTGTGTTAAGTCGCTTCAGTCATGTCTGACTCTTTATGGCCCTATGGACTGTAGCCCACCAGGTTCCTGTCTATGGGATTCTCTAGACAGAAATACTGGAGTGGGTTGCCATGCCCTCCTCCAGGAGATCTGCCTGATCCAAGGACCAAACCCACATCTCTTATGTCTCCTGAATTGGCAGGTGGGTTCTTTACCACTAACACCACTTGGGAAGCCCCATTGAGCAAGTTAGAGAGACGTCTAAACATAGGAAATTTCTTTCAACTGGAGAAAACCATACATGAGATTCACTTGAAAACTGCAAACTTAAAAATATGAAAGAAGAAATGGATTATTGGGAATAACAGGAAAGCAAAACATCAGTTTTACTCCACAAGGACAAGCTTGTGGAGACTTTAAACATTTTATATAACATTTACAATACAAAAATTCTTACCCTAGAGGAGATAATATAAATGCAACATGGAATTTTCCATAAAGCTTCATTTATATACAATGTATGTAGAACATACACTGGATTTGGAAAAGCTATTATTGGTTTTTAAGTGATTTTTGATTAAGGTACAATCTTATCCGTAGCTGTATGCCTGTCTACTTGTGCTCCAGAAATATTCTATTACTCAGATAATCATTAATTGTAAACTTAAAGACATAAGATATTAACATCTTATGTCTTTTTATTTTAGTTTAACATTTTTATCCTACCAATACACAAGTTCCAAAAGGCTAAATAACAATGTGAATAATTGCCAGGGATACTTTCCTCAGTGTGAATGGGTTTATCATATTATTTTCAAAGGGCAGATTTGGATGAGTAAAATTATAGAGCAGAAAGAGGTTATGAGTATCAATGTCACCACAAGAATATAATAAATGTTCACCACAAGAAATATAAGGGATAGAGTTCATGGAAACCAAAAGCAAAGGTCTACATATTAAGACTAAAGTTACAATTAACTTCATGAACACTTTGTGTCATTAAAATTCTTCATTTTTATCCTGGCATTCAGTAGATTTTGCTTTGAATCCAGTCTCCTATTTCCAGTAAATCCCCTGGAGAAGGAAGTGGCAACCCACTCCAAGATTCTTGCCTAGAGAATCCCATGGACAGAACAGACTGGTGGGCTACAGTCCATAGGGTCACAAAGAGTTGGACACGATGAAGAGACTTAGCACATTTTCAGTAAGACAGATGTAAACACAGGACAGAAACAAGGGAGATTTAAAGTAAAACATCAATTTTAACAGGAGTTCTAGATCCAGCTTACCAGATCTCTGGAGTGAAGATGAATGTTCTGAAGATGTATGTTTGATATCAGCATAGACTATCTCTCCAGCCATTGCATAAATTAAAAAGAATCCTGTAAATGAGATATATTGAGACAGATAATTTCCTTCCTCTCTTCCAAGTTTGGTAGATTCCCTCAATGAATAAAAAATAAAAGCAATGTGCTCAGTGTTTTCAATCAAGGCAATAGATTATTGAACACTTGCATGATCTGGAAGAAAACTACTATCCATGCAGTAGTTTCTTGCACTTCAGTTAGTTTTATGTCCTCACTTAGAATGATTTTGACCTTTATTAGTCCTACAGAAGAGATTGCATCACTTTCTTCTATAAACCACTTCCTCTTTTAGCTCAGACATATTTTCAGGCAGAAACCCTTTGCATTTTAGCATTGTCTCCAAAGTGGAATAGCAATTTGGAGGGAAGGACAAGAAAAAGAGGATTTTTATTATGAAAGTAGTAGAAAGAATTAACAGAATCCTCATCTTTGAAATGCATTGTAACTACCTAGGCAATTCTTTAAAAATTCCCTTAAAGCTATTTCTTCTCTTATATGCTTTATAATATTAACAGCAAGCTAAGATGAAGAATAGACTATGCAGAGGATTTCCAAACTGAAAAATAATCTATATGAAATAGATATAACTCTATGTCAAAATAACCAAAGTTTCTGTCATAAAAGAAAATAAATCTTATTTTTTAAATGAGTTTCATAGAAATTTACCACTGAATGCAATGTATTAAGCATAGATTTTCATTTCCCATTTCTTCTGTGTTGTGCTGTGTTCAGCCTCTCACTTGTGTTCAATCTTTTGTGACCCCATGGACTGTAGCCTGCCGGGCTCCTCTGTCCATGGGATTTCCCAGGCAAGAGTACCAGAGTGGGTTGCTGTTTTCTTCTCCAGGAACCACAAATTTTCTAATCGATTATAAATCTGGCTCTTGTTATTCCATTGTGGCTGATAGTGCTATACATTTTAAACACATTTTCATTCATATTGTATTTAATAAACAAAAGTTTGTAAAATTCAGTATTATAAGGCTAAATTGCTTTAGCTTCATTTTTTTCTATACTATTTGATTACAAGTTTCCATCAGTCTATTGTAAGCTGGATTTGGAACTTTATTTATTTATTTAATTGTGATGAGAGCTTTTATTTTTTTTTCTTTCTTTCCCCCCCCCCCATTTATTTTTATTAGTTGGAGGCTAATTACTTTACAATATTGTAGTGGTTTTTGCCATACATTGATATGAATCAGCCATGGATTTACATGTGTTCCCCATTCCGATTCCCCCTCCTACTTCCCTCTCCATCTCATCCCTCTGGGTCTTCCCAGTGCACCAGCCCCGAGCACTTGTCTCATGCATCCAACCTGGGCTGGTGATCTGTTTTACCCTTGATAGTATACTTGTTTCAATGCTATTCTCTTAGAACATCCCACCCTCGCCTTCTCCCACAGAGTCCAAAAGTCTGTTCTGTACATCTGTGTCTCTTTTTCTGTTTTGCATATAGGGTTATTGTTACCATCTTTTTGAATTCCATATATATGCGTTAGTATACTGTATTGGTCTTTATCTTTCTGGCTTACTTCACTCTGTATAATGGGCACCAGTTTCATCCATCTCATTAGAACTGATTCAAATGAATTCTTTTTAATGGCTGAGTAATATTCCATAGTGTATATGTAACATAGCTTCCTTGTCCATCCGTCTGCTGATGGGCATCTAGGTTGCTTACATGTCCTGGCTGTTATAAACAGTGCTGTGATGAACATTGGGGTGCACGTGTCTCTCAGATCTGGTTTCCTCGGTGTGTATGCCCAGGAGTGGGATTTCTGGGTCATATGGCAGTTCTAATTCTAGTTTTTTAAGGAATCTCCACGCTGTTCTCCATAGCAGCTGTACTAGTTTGCATTCCCACCAACAGTGTAAGAGGGTTCCCTTTTCTCCACACCCTCTCCAGCATTTATTGCTTGTAGACTTTTGGATAGCAACCATTCCGATTAGCGTGTCATGGTACCTCATTGAGGTTTTGCTTTGCATTTCTCTGATAATGAGTGATGTTGAGCATCTTTTCATGTGTTTCTTAGCCATCTGTATTTCTTCTTTGGAGAAATGTCTGTTTAGATCTTTGGCCCACTTTTTGACAGGGTCATTTATTTTTCTGGAATTGTGTTGCAGGAGTTGCTTGTATATTTTTGAGATTAATCCTTTGTCTGTTGCTTCATTTGCTATTATTTTCTCCCATTCTGAAGTCTGTCTTTTCCCCTTGCTTATAGTTTCCTTTGTTGTGCAAAAGATTTTAAGTTTAATTAGGTCCCATTTGTTTATTTTTGCTTTTATTTCCAATATTCTGGGAGGTGGGTCATAGAGGATCTTGCTGTGATTTATGTTGGAGAGTGTTTTGCCTATGTTCTCCTCTAGGAGTTTTATAGTTTCTGGTCTTACATTTAGATCTTTAATCCATTTTGAGTTTATTTTTGTGTATGGTGTTAGAAAGTGTTCTAGTTTCATTCTTTTACAAGTGGTTGACCAGTTTTCCCAGCACCACTTGTTAAAGAGGTTGTCTTTTTTCCATTGCATATTCTTGCCTCCTTTATCGAAGATAAGGTGTCCATAGGTTCATGGATTTATCTCTGGGCTTTCTATTCTGTTCCATTGATCTATATTTCTGTCTTTGTGCCAGTACCACACTGTCTTGATGACTGTGGCTTTGTAGTAGAGTCTGAAGTCAGGCAAGTTGATTCCTCCAGTTCCATTCTTCTTTCTCAAGATTGCTTTGGCTATTCGAGGTTTTTTGTATTTCCATACACATTGTGAAATTATTTGTTCTAGTTCTGTGAAGAATACCGTTGGTAGCTTAATAGAGATTGCATTGAATCTATAGATTGCTTTGGGTAATATACTCATTTTCACAATGTTGATTCTTCCAATTCATGAACACAGTATATTTCTCCATCTATTTGTGTCTTCTTTGATTTCTTTCATCAGTGTTTTATAGTTTTCTATGTATAGGTGTTTTGTTTCTTTAGGTAGATATATTCCTAAGTATTTTATTCTTTTTGTTGCAATGGTGAATGGTATTGTTTCCTTAATTTCTCTTCCTGTTTTCTCATTCTTAGTGTATAGGAATGCAAGGGATTTCTGTGTGTTAATTTTATATCCTGCAACTTTACTATATTCATTGATTAGCTCTAGTAATTTTCTGGTAGAGTCTTTATGGTTTTCTAAGTAGAGGATCATGTCATCTGCAAACAGTGAGAGTTTCACTTCTTTTCCTATCTGGATTCCTTTTACTTCTTTTTCTGCTCTGATTGCTGTAGCCAAAACTTCCAAAACTATGTTGAATGGTAGTGATGAGAGTGGGAGCCCTTGTCTTCTTCCTGATTTTAGGGGAAATGCTTTCAATTTTTCACCATTGAGGATAATGCTTGCTTTGGGTTTGTCATACATAGCTTTTATTATGTTGAGGTATGTTCCTTCTATTCCTGCTTTCTGGAGAGTTTTATCATAAATGGATGTTAAATTTTTTCAAAATCTTTTCCTGCATCTATTGAGATAATCGTATGGTTTTTATCTTTCAATTTGTTAATGTGGTGTATTACATTGATTTTTTTGCAGATATTAAAGAATCCTTGCATTCCTGGGATTAAGCCCACTTGGTCATGATGTATGATTTTTTAAAATATGTTATTGTATTTTGTTTGCTAGAATTTTGTTAAGGATTTTTGCATCTATATTCATCAGTGATATTGGCCTGTAATTTTCTTTTTCTGTGGCATCTTTGTCTGGTTTTGGAATTAGGGTTATGGTGGCGTCATAGAATGAGTTTGGGAGTTTACCTTATTCTGCAATTTTCTGGAAGAGTTTGAGTAAGATAGGTGTTAGCTCTTCTTTAAATTTTTGGTAGAATTCAGCTATGAAGCCATCTGGTCCTGGGCTTTTGTTTGCTGGAAGATTTCTGGTTACAGTTTCGATTTCTGTGCTTGTGATGGGTCTGGTAAGATCTTCTATTTCTTCGTGGTTCAGTTTTGGAAAGTTATACTTTTCTAAGAATTTGTCCATTTCTTCCAAGTTGTCCGTTTTATTGGCATAGAGCTGCTGGTAGTAGTCTCTTATGATCCTTTGTATTTCAGTGTTGTCTGTTGTGATCTCTCCATTTTCATTTCTAATTTTGTTGATTTGGTTCTTCTCCCTTTGTTTATTGATGAGTCTGCCTAACTCTGTCACTTTTATGTATCTTTTTTTTTTTAAAAAACAGCTTTTAGCTTTGTTGATTTTTGCTATGGTCTCTTTAGTTTCTTTTGCATTTACTTCTGCCCTAATTTTTAAGATTTCTTTTCTTCTACTAACCCTGGGATTCTTCATTTCTTCCCTCTCTAGTTGCTTTAGGTGTAGAGTTAGGTTACTTATTTGACTTTTTTCTTGTTTCTTGAGGTAAGCCTGTAATGCTATGAACCTTCCCCTTAGCACTGCTTTTACAGTGCCCCATAGGTTTTGGGTTGTTGTGTTTTCATTTTCATTCATTTCTATGCAGATTTTGATTTCCTTTTTGATTTCTTCTATGATTTATTGGTTATTCAGAAGCGTGTTATTTAGCCTCCATATGTTTGAATTTTTAATAGCTTTTTTTCCCCTGTAATTGAGATCTAATCTTACTGAATTGTGTTCAGAAAAGATGACTAGAATGATTTCAATTTTTTTTAAATTTACCAAGACTAGATTTATGGCCCAGGATGTGATCTATTCTGGAGAGTGTTCCGTTTGCACTTGAGAAAAAGGTGAATTTAATTGTTTTGGGGTGAAATGTCCTATAGATATCAATTAGGTCTAGCTGGTCCACTGTGTCATTTAAAGTTTGTGTTTCCTTGTTAATTTTCTGTTTACTTGATCTATCCATAGATGTGAGTGGGGTATTAAAGTCTCCCACAATTATTGTGTTATTGTTTATTTCCCCTTTTATACTTGTTAACATTTGTCTTACATATTTCGGTGCTCCTACGTTGGGTGCATATATATTTATAATTATATCTTCTTCTTGGGTTGATCCTT